TGCCAACAATAGATAAAAAATTAAACTGCAGTACCAAGGTCAATCACCAGGTGCTCAAAGTCAACCTACACAATCTCCAAGGCCCCATCCATCAATCTGCCAAATATCATACAGTTCCTTCTCACCGATCTTCAGATATCAGACCAAACATGAAACGGAGTAAAAACAATACCCCCCAATTACATGGAGGGTAAAAACTGCGGCGAAAAAGTAACATGGGTTCGTCTAGACGCAAGTAGTGAGCTACAAAAGTAATAGAACCTATGCATCTTGCTTGTTGCTGTCTACTTACCCGTTAAAGATTGAACCGATACATGTACGTACTATAACTTGCCATACCCGGCCAAAGACGACTACATCACTGTTACTCTTTATTTTGTGCTGTATAATGTATACTAGTATGCGTTACATTATCTATCATTGTCATTTCTGTGAATTCCTTAAAACATCTACTGTTAGTTTGTGTAACATTACGTAGTGCTACAATCTGCGTAAAAAGTGGGCTTCATTACGTGTTATCTGCTTAAGCTAAGGTCCCAATTGGGAAAAGGGGCCCTGGCGGGTAGTTTCCGGGCTGTTTTTTACCACTTTCGGGCGGGACCCCGACGTGGCCCCGCGGGGCACCCTGCGGCTACCGGGCTATTTTTTGGCCCGTCGGGGCCCCGATAAGAATTTAATTCTGAGTTAAATTGTACCCGGGCCCCGCTGACAAAAAGACGCCGTGACCTCATCGTGAGAACACCGAGAGGTACCCCTCCGGTTGCCGGCATTCCACCGGGACACATTTCTTACGTCACAGACCAGATAAACAGAATAAAGGTATGTACTTCGTAAACCCGGGTAAAATGTGTGACCTCACAGATCAAATGATCACAACAAATACGTGAATTCTGCATTACGTATAGGTCAATACAAGACATCGTCAGAGAATCTGCTGGGTACCTGCCGGGTGCCTGCCGGATACCGACCAAAGAGGGTGACAAAATTTGTAACAAAATGCTACTGAAGGAAACTTTTAATTGTGACCACGACAGCCGATGCCCGCTCGACTCCTGAACCCGGCCGGGGCCAACCGGGGCTACATCCCAGACGGGCACCGGCGTAATTGGGACCTTAGCTTAAGTCGTGTTGGTATTGAAAACTGTTTTATTGTGCCGTTTTTCTACAAACAGCCAGCAGAATTATGAAGATACTCGTTCTCAATACACATGCTGCAAACTAAAGTAATGGCAGTCCTACGAAAATTCTGTTTGTAATGTATAAGCGCTTTATGTCGACGTACAATGGGTGTGAAATACATGTTTTCGCCCATCGTGTGCCACCGGCTCGGTGGTAATTGGCTACTTTACAAGTGAAAGAACCGCGTCCGTGGGCCCTGATAAATTATTCAAATTATTCAGCAGCCCTCTGATTGGTCCCCGCTAGAAATTTACTGGATGTCATTCAGTGACGAGCCCCTCCCCCTTTGCCCGCCCCCCCCCCCGACTCTCCGTGAAGGGCAGTTTTAATCGTTTCTGGACGATAAAATGTTCTCAAATGAATTCACTTTCTATGTCATTTCATGTGAGTCGACCTCTAAATTTGACTTCCGCATAATTTCGGCCAAGTCTTTCCATTTATGGTGACTTAACTGACATTTTACAGGAAAATTCGATTGTTTTAGGCCTATTTAAGGCAAAACTAGGTTTTCTGATTTTCGGTTCAGGGCTCCTTAAAAT